CTCTGCCCCCCGGGGGCGGGGGGAGACAGGGGAGCGCCGCCGCCCGGAGGCGAGAGGCAGAGAGGCTACTCATCCGGCCGGTGGGGGTCCAGGGCCTCGGCCGCGCGGCGGACCTGCGCCTGGGCCTGGAAGACGCGCCGCTGCTCGGCCTGGCTGCAGGACCAGGCGTTCACCTTGTCGTCGATCAGGGACAGCATCTTGGAGAGGGTGGTGTCGGAGAAGGAGGACAGGGCACCGCACTTGTTGTGAATACGGGCCGCGGCCGAGGAGAGCATCCACCGGCGCCAGAGGAAGCTCGTGAGCGACAGGGCCACGGACCCGGTGGCCACCAGGCCCGCCTCCAGGGGGGTGATGACCACGCTCGGGTCCAGCAGGGTCTGGCCCCAGACCGTCAGCGGGGCGCCGGCCGCCGCGGAATAGAGCACCAGCGAGCCGAGGTGCGTGACGATGAGCTTGCGCCGGGTGCTCCGGGTCAGGGCCTCCGGCGACAGGTGGTGGTCCATGGTGCTGGACACGATGTCGAAGAGCTCCTGCTCGTGGAGGATGCGCTCGGCCGGGCCGGGGACCGGGGGTGTCGCGTCGGCGGCCGGGGCGTCGCGTAGCCGGGCGAACAGCGGCAGGGAGTTGATCATGGTGGTAGCGGGGGCGAGCTGCGTGTGCGTGTGCGTGTGCGTGTGCGTGTGCGTGTGTGTGTGTGTGTGTGCGTGTGTGTGTGGCGCAGGGAGGAGGGGGAGAGGGAAGTGCGTGTGCAAATGCGTGCGCGTGGGCGGAGAGGAAGAGAGAAAGGCAGGAAAAGGGCAGGGAAATGGCGGGGAAATGGCGAAGGCGGCCCAGACAGAGGGGGAGCCACCGGCGAAGGGGCCGCCGCACGGACAGCCGGCAGCGTCGACATCCGGCAGCGGAGCAAGCAAGGCACCCGGTCAGCACGTGCGGCAGGGAAGAAAGAGACACCAAGGGCACGAACCGAGTCCGGGGAGAAATGCAACGACGCCTGGAGCTTCTGCCACACCTGGAACTCGAAGACCGTCATCTTCCGGCGATTGGCCCCGCCAAGCAGATGCACCCGGCGATAGAGGTCCAGCCAGGAGAAGCGCGGCTGGGGGGCCGACGCGGAGGCGGCCGTGGCCGGGCCCGGGCCCGGGCCCGGGATCGAGAGCTCCTTCCCACTGCCGGCGTCGGCCCCATCGCCCAGGAGGTAGCGCGAGACTTGCGACGAGGCGGCGCTCAGTTGCTCGCTCAGCGAGAAGAGACCCAGCCCCGAGGACTTGAGCCGGTCGCGGATGCCCCCCGGGCTGTAGTACAGCTGGCGGGTGACGACCTCCCGCTGGCGCAGGGTCTCGCCGGCCTCTTGCAGGGCTGAAGGGCCGCACGGGCCGCGGGACGGAGGGCAGGGCGGCCGCAGTGTCAGCAGCAGCAACAACAGCAACAACGGCAGCAGCAGCAGCAGCAGCAGCAGGAGAAACAAGAGAGCACCAAGCGCCGCCCGAAGAGGGCACACGCGGAGGCCCCGCGCCGAACGCACATTCATGGGCGGCATCCAGCAGCGAGCGCATGCGCAGATTGTGGCGCTTCTCCTGGCGCGCCATCTCCAGCAGGTAGTCCCGCAGGACCGGGGCGCCGCGGCCGTCGGCCGGGTCCACCACGAACGACGGCCAGGTGGACACATCGACCGGGTGCTGGTGCTGGTGCTGGTGCCCGGCCGGGGAGCCGGCCTGGGCCGAGTCCCCCGGGCTGACCGAGCACCGGGCCGGGGAGAAGGCCCCGGCCGCGGCGCGGCTCAGCACCGCCTGCGAGGCCTGCTGCGCCATGGCCTGGCGCTGCGGCGCCGACAGCCCGGGCGGCGTGGCGAACACCAGCACCGGCGACGGCCGGGGGAGGGGGCCGCCATCGCAGTCGGGCCCGCTGCCGGTGGCGGCGGCGGCCGCTGCACGTGCGGCCGCCGCCGCCGCCTGCTCCGGCCCCGACAGCGACGGGTCCGACACCAGGGGCACCGACGAGGGCGGGGCCCAGGCCGACGGCTCGCGCGGGAAGAGCGACGCCCGGATGAGGGCCACATCGTCGCGGCGCCCGAGCCATGCGGCGTCCAGGGCCCCGGCCCCGGGGCCCGGGGCGTCGGGCTCCAGGGGGAAGGCGGCCGGCGGCGGCGGCGGCACCACGACCACGGTCAGATCGGCCTCGGCAATGGCCCGGCGCTGGACCGCATCCGTGCTCGAGTCCCAGGTGGTGCCTGTACCGGGTTAGCCAGGGAAGGGGCGGGAGAAAGGGGGGGGGGGGGGGGGAGGGGGGGGCGGTGAGTCGCGCGCATGAGGCCCGGGGCCGACCACGGGGGCCGGGCACAGCCGGGGCCCGAGACACCCCGGTGGACCGGGGGCAGAGCCGGCGGCCCAGGAGCACACGCACCGGGGGTGAGGAGGATCTCGACACCGCCGCTCGGGCTGCGGGCCGGGCACCGGCGCCGGACGAAAGCGGGCGATGGGTCAGCGTGGGGCGGGGCAGGGGGGCGAGGCGGGATCGGGCAAAGCCCCGCCGCGGGGCAGGGCGGCGCAGGGCCACACGCACGACCAGTCGGAGGAGGCCCAGGCCCGGACAACGTCGCGCGTGTTGTCCGGCAGGGCGAAGGCGCCCCCCGGGCCGGAGGGGGCGCTCAGCAGCGGCAGCAGGGCGGAGCGCGCGACGGCCCGCGTGAGGGCCGCGTCGCGCCCGGTGACTGCGGCGGCGCACGGGACAAGGGGCGGCCGGGGAGGCGGCGGCAGGCGACCGGGTCAGCGGCAGGGCAGCAGGGCGCACAGGCCGCGCATGGGCAGCGGGGAGGGGGTGCGGGGGGGGGGCGCACAAACAACGCGCGCCGGGCGCGAGGTCAGCCCGGAGGTGGTCCAGGCGTGCGTATGCCGGGTGTCCAGGCCGGCCAGGAAGACGGCCTCCAGCGCGGCGTCCAGCGCCTGGATGGCCTCGGCATGGTGGGATCCCGGCCCGGCAAGCGGCCCGGCCGACACAGGCCCGGGCTGATCGGCCGGGGCCTGGCTGGCCAGGAGCCGCCGGGTGGAGTGGGCGAGGACGGCGCCGGCCGCGGACCGGGCGCCTGGTGTGGCGGCCTGCCGGGCG